ATTACTTTCTACTTCAAGTACTTGTGTCTGCAGATTCTCTACTTAGTCTCCTGCACCACCTTTCAAATTCTTTCATGGTATGAGAGCAGTCTGGAATCAAGCCTCTCGTCAATTCGACTATCGTCAATCTTACAATGACTGGACCATCATCATCAACAACGACTGCTTCTTAAACAACTGGACCTACGGGTGTTACAAATCCTACAGCCATTACTAGTCAAGCAGGTAACTCTGCAACTGGAAACTTTTAACCTGCTTATTCTTCAATTGGGATGCTGCAACAGCAACAAGTTTTGCCTACTGTTCATCCACCGGGGACTTATTCCTCTGCACCTGCAACACAACAGCAACAAGCAGCAGCATCAATATCAGCAGCTTTTAGTGGAATGAGTATCGACGGCTCCAGCTATGCAAGAGCTGCAGCCGCTCCAAGCTCCAGTTCTTCGTTTTCGTTTACACCTGCTCAACATCAACAATTCCAATTTCTTCAACAATAGCATCAAGCACAACAACAGTTCCAGCAACAACAGCAATAACAGCAGCAACAGCAACCTCAACAGTAGTTTCCGCAGCAGCAGACTACATTCGTTGCTTCTGTTTTTCAGGCCCCGAATCTTTTGAGCAACACACAGATCAAGACAACCATACCTCTTAATGGTGTCGACTTCTACACCTGGAGCTTCGAATTCGAACTTCTCATGAAATCCGCGGGGCTGTGGCCGTTCTTCAGTGGCGATTATACTTATCATGTTACGGGAATACAGATGCATCATTCTTCATGATCGAACAACAAACTTTTCTTCATGCATCACTCAGCGCTTACACTGTCCTTATCCGCAATCTGTCGCTGAAAGAGCAGCTCGGTATACGCTCGCTTCTCACCTGTCTGACTCCAGCTGAATCTTCGTGGACACATTTGAAGGGGCTGTATATGGCACATGACACAGTTTCCGTGAGTAAAATTCTCTCACAACTGACAACTGTACAGATGCAGGGCAACGAGAACGTTTCGGATTATGTTAACAGGGCTCGAACACTTCGTGACCAATTGGAAAAGTGCGGCGGATACTTCCCAAAGGACATGTTTATAACAGTCCTTCTTGCCGGTCTTGGAGCAGAATGGCGGCAGTGTCGATCCCTTCTTCGTCTTCAACCAAATCTTTCGGAAGCAGAAATCTGCTCCTTTCTTCAAGCAGAGCACCAAGATCTTGACCTGTAGACAGCACGTAACAAGAAAGGAGCAGTCAACATCAGTTTTTATACAACGCCTACGAAACGCGTCAGCAAATACTTCTGCCACTACTGCAAAAGGGATGGACACAGTATAAAGTTTTGCAACAAGCGTCAAGCTGATAGGAAAAGAGGGGACAGCAGCAGTCGCAGCAGTCCAGGCAACCCGTAAAGCAGAATCCACCGACAACAACTCCTGCAACATCAGGAAAACAAGTCTTAAGCTGTGTTACAACAGTTCATGCAACAGAATCAGATTTTAACGATGACGACGACAACGAGCAACCAGAGAACATGGTTTTACCTCAAGTATATGCTAACCTTGCTCAAGTTATTGCAGGACCGAACACTTGGTATCTTGACAGTTGCTGTGGACAACACATGTGCTCTGCCGAGACGCTCTTCACTACTCATCAACGTCCGCTTCGTCGTCCAGTACCTATCACAGTCGCAAATGGACAAACGATAATGGCAAAGTCAATTGGGAGCGTCATGTTGGATTCAGTGGACACAGGATTTTCATTACACATTACCAATGTTCTTATCATCGAGGGACTTGGCTTTAATCTTCTTTCAACGGCTCAACTCCTGCAACATAAAATTCAGACGCAAGGAAACTGTGAAACCATGGACCAAGAACTTTATCATAATGATTCCAACACTTACATCGGGAAAGCCGCCACTCAGTATGGGGTCTCCGTTCTTCAATTCGAGTCGCAAGGGTCTTCTGGATATTCTGAGAGAGTGTTATCTCTTGGACCTTGGCAACATCCAGAAGAAAATTACTTCCAAAACATTGACATCGACTTCCGAGCAACTGCAGTTCCAATAGGTTCTCGTACAGCAGCTGCGGTTATCACGGCTCTTGATTCCTGGCCAACAAACACAGCAGAGGAAGACACATCAGCATGGAGGAATTATTATGACACTTTACAACAACTTGAAAACAAACCTACAGGACCTTGGGGACCCAGCAGCAGCAGTAAAGCAGAGGAAGCAGAGCAGCAGAGTAGCGGTGAAGCAGAAACAGGGATTCTCGTCGGTCAACCTGCAACAGATTTAACGGAAACAGAAATTGAGGAAGGGGAATTAATATTCCAACCGGAAGAAATACTCGAAGTAGAAGTAACAACTACCAAGTTACCTTTAAATCGCTTCGTACCTGGCGAACTCGACGAATCACCAACGATTTCTCCTTTCATCATTTCTTCCTTTTATACTAATGCCAATTTTTATCTGCGATCAACAGGACACAAAGCAACGGAAGACATTTGGCATCAAAGGTTAGGACATCCTTCACCGGGGATACTTAACCATACTATCCGAGCTTCAGTTCTTGATAAAAAACAGTTTACTCTTACCGGATGGAACGGAGATGAAGCCGTCTTCGCGACCCGCAGTCTGCACAACATGTGCAACCGCAAATCTTCCGCACGAACCTTTTCCAAGCCACTTTCCAGGTTCAACTCACTACAAACTTATGCAGACAGCTTACAGCGATATACTCAACTTATCGGAAGCTGGACCGTAGGGGGAGCTTTATATGATTTCGTGTATCGAAGCTTCTACTCGATACGTTTGGAGTGTCAACATACCAGCTCGACACATAGCTCACTCAATTTTCGTGGCGTGGCTCGCGGTGGCTAAAAGAGAATCGGAGAAGAAGCTGCAAGAATTTCAGAGTGACGGTGCAAGGGAGTATACGAGCACAACTTTCACAGATTACCTGCAAACCCTCGGAATCAAGCACAGGTTGTCTCTGCCACACCAACACCAACAGATGGGGGTAGCAGAAAGGATGAACAGGACTCTACAAGAGAAGATGCGAGTCCTGCTGACTCAGGCAACATTGCCACCCCATTTTTGGACTTACACTTTGGACCACGCCATCCTTCTGCACAACTTGTTGTCGACAACTTCTCTTCCGGAATTTTCTTCACCACACCTGCAGTGGACAAAAACATTTGGCAACACAAAACTTTTAAGAGTTTTTGGATGCATCGTACAATATCGACCTCCGACAGCTACACTGGGAAAAAAATCTGAACACGCTAAGTGGGGAATACAGCTTGGCATCGAAAAGCAGTTTTTCGCGTGGAAAATCATGGATCTTCGCACGAGTCAAATCGTAGCAGCACGTGATTGTCTTTTGTACGAACGTCTAACCTTACATGTTTTTCGTGCTCACCAGGCAGCATCTGCCAATCCTGCCAGGCTGTTCGAAGGCTCGCGTGCCTTTGCCACCGACAAAGCCGAAGCAGATGTCAAGGATGAGTCCGTGGCTGAATCCTCCAAAGCTGCCACAGACGTCCCCGTGCCAACCACGTCAGCTGGAACTGCGAAATTTATTCCACTCGCTGATGCCGATCCTGAAGATGTTCGTGATGTTGAACTCGATTACGAACGTGATCGCCAACAGCAACCGATGCCCATTGTATCCGAAGCAGCGATACGTGTCGCACGTGAAGAAGTTGGGGGGAACAGGGATCAGAACACAACTTCTCCAGTGTCAATTCAAATCGTCCGCGTTTTACAGAGACTGGTCTACAAGTTTTGGGACTTGCAGTTGCCGAACATTTCGGAGCCGAAAACAGTTCGCCAAGCTTTAACAAGTCCTTACAGGGAAAAATGGCACGAAGCCATGGACAGAGAGCTAGCAGCTCTGGAAAAGCGTGGCACCTGGGATCTTATCCCACTGAAGGAAGCAAAGGGGAGTAAAGTTCTTACCAGAAAATGGGTCTTCCGCGTCAAGATGAAAAATTCAAGGCGCGATGGGTCGTCCGCGGCTTCGAGCAAACTTACGGGCTTGACTACGAATTTATCTTTGCTCCCGTCGGCCGACACACTAGTGTCAGAATTGTTCTCTGCATTGCAGCCTACCGAAATTTCCGACTTCCTCAAAACGACGTCGCCAATGCTTTTCTATATGTGCCCATCGACGCACTAATCCTGGTCGAGTATCCACACTCTTACGAAACTAATCCTCCCAGTGTGTGCCATCTCAGAAAATCTCTCTACGGAATCAAACAAGCACCACGACTTTGGCAACAGTATCTGCACCGTCAGCTGTTAACTGCCGAGCTTTGTCAACCTCCACATGACCAAGGAATGTACCTACTTACCAACGGTACCGACTACATGTTCAGAAGTCAGGACAAAATGCCCTGAAATGCTGTATATCAGGGTGTTTTTTTAGGGTCGTCCTGTTTTTTCAGCTTTTGATTTTTCCTAGGGCTGAATTTTAGGGGTTGTCATTTGAGCAGGCCTGAAATATTGTATGTTGTTGTTTTGGTCACCCTGAATTATCGGCCTTAACGGATTTCCAGCTTGAAACAGAATTCTATCTAAGATCGAATTCTGAAGTTGGGCCGACGACGAAGTTTTCCCTTCGGCACCAAGTTTTCCCATGCGACTCGGGAAACTGTGGTGGATACCATCCTTGCTGCGAAACGCTCGCGATAAGGCTTGCGAAAACAAGCCGCGAAAATGCGACCTGCAAAACTTCGCGGCCAACTAGGAAGCGCGCACAACGGGCTGCGACCCATATGCGACCTGAAAAATGTACCGGATGCGCGTCTGCAACCTGTCGGTTGAAATTTGCAACAACACTGGTACAAAAAAACCCGCCAAGAGCCCCAAAACATACCAAACGCGCGCAGCGCCGTAAATCATCGAGTGCCACTTCTGTTGGTGGGGCACTGGGATCGTCCTACAGTTGAGTGTGGGAGGGCTACAGGTCCGTCCTGGGGGTAATGGGTGCGCTACCCACCACAACAACATGCCCTTTTAACCCAGTCGGTAGCGGGCTGGGCCAACAGTGGTATCAGAGCCGGGTTCGAATCTCAGTGTGCGCAGAGGAGTCGCCGGGTGCCCAAACAGTCCCAGTGAGGGGGAAGACGACCCCAGTGAGGGGGAGATTGTTGGTGGGGCACTGGGATCGTCCTACAGTTGAGTGTGGGAGGGCTACAGGTCCGTCCTGGGGGTAATGGGTGCGCTACCCACCACAACAACATGCCCTTTTAACCCAGTCGGTAGCGGGCTGGGCCAACAACTTCTCCTACCCAATTCGACAACCTCTCGTACAGACGAACAATCAATACAAAAAGGCGTACAGCAGACTACTACTGCAGCATGACTACTTCTAGTTTCTGAAAACAAGCTACAGGTTCCTCCCCGCTGAACTCCTACACCATGGGCCGGAAAAACAAGGGCCAGACAGAGAAACGCAAGGGAATCTCGGAGGTCGAGGCGGCACCGCGCCCGACACCACCCTTTCTCCAGTACCTGTCGGATCTCGAGGCAAATGGCATCAAGCGGATCCGCCTAGTCGGCGTCACGGACTTGCCCGCTAGGAGAGGAGGGAAATGGAAGAATGGGCTTGCTGCGTCGACGAGTGGCCATGGCAACGACGGTGCGGGCGAATACGGCTGCGGGTCCGAGCTCGATGCGGACACTATCAACCCCGAAGACGAGCGCTATTGTGACTCCGACGGCTACACCGCTGCCGACCAAGTGGACGACGATGGCGACGAGGACACCGAAACACCTGCAGACGGTGCAAACAGGAGGGGCAAGGGGAAGGTGTCCGGCGCGAGACAAGCGAGTCGATATTGGGAGGAGGACGAGCTTGCAGAGCTTGCGGCGGCAATGTGGGCAGCGAAAGAAGACTTCGACACGCTGAGGGGCAAGCAGGGAGGGCAGCCATGGAAGAAGCTACGCCGCGTGCTGCGCGAGGCGAATCCCAACTGGTGCCGTCCTAGTTACGCCATGCAAAAATGTTGGGCGCGCCTCAAGAGTCGACTGGATGAAATCGAGGAGGCAGATTCCAGGTCCGGTAACAACCCGATGCCCAAGCCGGAGTGGTACCAGCATGCATGGAATTACTGGAATTGCGACCGCGCTCCGAACCCCCATGTCGTCGACGAAGGTGGTGCGCGCATTGAGCACGCGACGCCGCGGACCGCGCACGGCACGCGGTCCGCACCTTCTACCGCACCCCCCGGAACTACCGCGCCAGGTACGGAAACCACACACAAAACCAATGTACGGGAACCCCGAGTCATTGAACAAGCTTTCAATCACGCACTCAAGACACGGGGCCTTATTACAGAGCAGGGCGCAAACGAACGTTGAGACATAACCTCAACTAACCCACACTACCCCAACTCCCACACTCCCATCAGGCTCGACGGTTTCACCTGGAAACATCGCGCAAAATAGTCACGCCGTGGAGCCGCCGAGAAACGACGGTCATCAGGTCGTAGCCGATACGCTCACCCGTGTGATGGAAGAGCGTACAGCGCGCCAAGAAGTCGTCATGGGGAAGCTCGTTTCTGTTCTTGAGCTCCTCACCCAGGCGGCCGGAGCCGCGCCAGCACCTGTCCCACTGCGGGCTCCAACGGCTGGAACCCGCAGTGGGACAGCCTCGCCTGGTGGCCGTCACATCGACGGAAGCACCATGCCATCTGCATTTCAGCATGGTGCGCCACACGGTGCCGGCTTTGCTTCAGTGTACCCTGCATGGTTTCCATCCGGTGGCTCGCCGAAACGTGACGTCAGTGCGGTTCATCCGCAGAATGCGCCAATTCGCGCATCGGTCCTCCCGTTTCCCGCTCCCGATGCTGTAAATGTCGCGCACGTCGCGGCGCCAGCACACTCTACGGACGAGGGTGGCGGGCCGGCGCGCCACTCGCACCTTGATTCCGCGCCGGCGGCACGCACGACCGCGACGGTTGTCATGGGGGCAGATGGAAATTGGTATTTCACTGCCCCCCCATTTGATGGCCATCTTCACCATGCCGCATGAGCCATGCGGCGTGGATGTGTGTGCCGAAGTCCCGGCGACGCGCGACCACGGCCTCGCGGTTGGGCGCAGGAGTGGGCTGCCATACGTACTCCGCCATACCCCGCCTCTCCCACCACCTGTTCAATTCTCTAGCCGTGCCATCTCTCCACTGTCCGCGTGATTGTCTTTTAGCGGAGGCTTGGTACTCTATCATGTTATGTAGTACCACTGCACATCCAGCTCCCGCGCACACCCGCCAAAGCCGCCCCCCGTGACATCCTTCGAAGATCCGAAATCTGTTTTTGAACAACCCCATGGTCCGCTCCACTGCCATCCGCGTTGATGATTGCACGTAATTAAAACTCTGCTCCCATCCTAGCAATATTCTAGCCTTGCTGGCGTGTATCGGAACTAAACAGAAATCCTTCAAAGGGTATGCCGCGTCACCCAACACTTGGTATGGCATGATCTCGCCATTTTCCATGCGTGCATAAAGAGCACTCTTGGTAAAGACCCTTGCATCGTGTGCGGACCCTGGCCATCCGACGACATAGTCCCAAATACGGCACTTGGAGTCCACGGTCAACTGTAATTGCACGGAGTACATTTGTTTCCGACAATAGTACTCCGAGCGCCATTCGTGGATGACGCGGACTTGTAAGTGCGTGCCGTCTACAGCCCCTATGACGTTGGGTATCCCTCTGCAGGCGCGGAAATCCAGCGCCATCTCGGCCATTTCTTCTCGTGATGGGAATTGAACCCAGGCTTCTTTGTAACGTTTCGGGAAAGAAAGTAGGAAGCGGTCAACGATGCAGTGACAAACTGTCTTCGGCACCCCGAAGTAAAGACTCATATCCAGATAGGTCATCCCCGTCGCTAAATACTTTATCGGTATGAGAATACACAGTGGTAAAGGAACCCCATGAGAGACGATGATGTTGTGGTAATCATTAGCCATGCCCTCTTTCAAGTGTTCTAGTATGTCTCGGTCGATTCGGAAAAGGTCCTCAAACTCAGCATCGTCGAAATCGTCGATGCGGTCCAGCCACCACTGGATCCGCTCACGTCTGTATTCTGCATAGCGCTTATGGCGAGCGCGTCGGGTCTCCGCGCGTTTAAGCGCATATTCCACGCCGATCGCATCGAGGGCTTCCACTACGAGCTGAGCTACAATTATGTCTGTGACATCGTCGTCGAGGCGCTGCCATTCCATGAACGCGGCTACTGCTGCTGCGGCGGTTGCCAGAGTGTGAGCCATGGCGGAATAGGACCTTCGAACCCGCACTGCTAAACTGTACCCAACGCGTTGCGATGTTGCTGTTATATGGCTAAAGAGGCGATATTGGGGTCCAGGAAGTTCTGCCCGTTATTCGTTTCGTGCCTCGTTTGTTTGTGTGCTGTTACGGGCAGCTCATGCGGTAACCGTGCCACTGGGCCGTCTGTTTTGCAAACGTGGCTCACGTTCAGTCGAGGCGCATTCACCCACAGTACCAATTTTCGCCGGACGTGTTGATCGCGTTGGTCGTGCGCCCACGTCGCAGGGCACGTTGGCGAAACTTTTGGTTTCGGCAAAAGCCGAAGCGCACAGCCCAACATTGCATTCCCAATTTTAGACATTTCGAGCCGCATGGGAAAACTTTGCTCGTCGGCCCAACTTCAGAATACGATCTGACTGATCGAGGCGAGCTGGAGCAGCTGTGAGGGGCGTGTCTTGTCCTTCGCCAAAATGATGCAGCTGACGCAAGCTGGAGCACATGTGAGGGGCGTGATTGGTCCTTCGCCAAAATCATGCAGGCAATTTGATGCGAGCTGGAGCAGGTGTGAGGGGCGTGACTGGACCTTCGGCAAAATGACACAGGTAACGCGAGTTGGAGCAGATGTGAGGGGCGTGATTGGTCCTTCGCCAATATCACGCAGGCAGTCTGACGCGAGTTGGAGCAAGTGTGAGGGGCGTGACTGGTCCTTGGCTAAAATCACGCTAGTAGTCTGATCTGATCTAAGGATCAGAAACCTAAAAAATGTACTTGATGAGTCAGGCATATTTTTTTTGGTCTGACAAAACATGCCCTGTCTAACATAATGTGCTAGGTTAAAATCCTACCCACTCTAAAAAATCCTCAAGGTTCAACCTATCATCTCAGCTCTGAAAATTTTCAGTCCTGATTTTTCAGCCTTCGAAAATATTTACCCTGAAAAAAATTGCAACTTCCAAAACCCGACCCTGAACAACGGGGGCTCCTTCTGGGAGCACCCTGAGCCAACAGCCCCTCTGAAGCCCTGGTAGTTGGTCACAATCCTCCGTCCACAAAAAAAAGTTATTGTTTGGACCTACTATGATATACCGGTAGAACACTAGCTATTTCTGGCGATTTAGGGGGTTTACCAAAATTGCGGATCTTCTCTTGCCCTCACTGCCCATGCTCCACTCAGCCATGGGAATGATCACGGCACCATCACCATTCCCCTGCTGATGGTCATGAGTGACGTAAGCAGGTGGCAGTTAGCGGCAGTCACGGGTAAGCCCGGTCGCCGCGCCCCCGGTGCCTCTGCTGCCGCCGCCACTGCGCCGCTCTCCCTGCCCTCCTCCTCCCCCTCCTCCGCCGCTCCTGCTCCTCCCCCCGCTTCGCGCCCTCTCCCCCAACCCGCCGCGGATAAGCCGCTTTCCTCCGCGCATCCCTCGCAACCACTGCCGTCCTCGCAGCCGCACCGCAAGGGCCGCCATGCGCCGTTTCGCTTCCCCGCGCGCGCCGCCGTGTCCGCCCGGGCGCGCGCGCTCTGCTACTACGGCGCGCTCACCGTGGCGGCGGCGCTGTTCCTGCTCGTGTGGGTCGCCTTTCAGCCCGACGCGCCCCCGCTGCCCGACGCCCGTGACCTCTCTGGGAGAGCCTTCCTCCACCGGTCACACGAAACTTTTCGAGGCTGCCCGGTGTGCGGCAAGGGCGAGGTGAAGCTCGCGCCGCTGGTCCGCCCGCTGTCGGCGCGCGGCGCCAAGGTGCGCCTGTGCATGGGCAGCGCCGCCGCGCCGTTCGCGCAGGGCGCGTTCGTGAGCCGCCCCATGGAGGGCCGCGAGGGGGCGAGCTTCGGGCCGCGCCTGGCGCAACTGACGGTGTTCGAGGCGGAGGCGCGCCACGAGGCCGCGGGGGGAGGGGCGGCGGGGGAGGAGCGGGCGGGCAGCGGGCAGGCGGGCAGGCAGCAGCGGGGAGGGCCATCGGCGGGGGCGGTGGCGACGTCGCTGCGGCTGCTGGCGTTTCTGGAGGACGAGGAGTCGATCCGCAAGACGCAGTGGGAGGGGTGGGGCGCGGCGGAGCTGAGCGACGTGTACTGGCGGGGCGGGCTGCAGCTAAAGTGTCTCGTGTGGCCCGGCCACGACCCCGCGCTGCAGGCCGTGGCGCCTGCCTACGTGGTGGACGCCGTCATCCGCCACCGCTACAACTGGCACATCGCGCTTGAATGCCCGCTCCCGCCATACCCCTCCCCTGCGTCCTCCTCCTCCTCCTCCCCCACGGACCCCTCCGCCGACCCCGCGGTGCCAGTACGCGTGCGTGTGAGTCGGCGCGAGGCACGGCGGCACTACGTGCAGTACTCGCAGCGCGTGCAGGTGCAGCTGGTGGCGGCGGAGAATGGCACGGACCTGCGCATGCCGCCGCTGCTGCTGTGCCGCGCCGACAGTGACGGACGCAGTGACGCTGCGAGCAGCGGTGGCAGCGGCGGTGAGAGCGGGCGCGAGCGCAGCACCCGCACCGCCACTGACAGCCTCTCTAACCCGCCTGGCGGCCTCCCCCCGCCGTTCCCCTTCGCCGCGGTGGAGAGAGAGGTGGCTGCCGCGGCGAATGCAGGCTCGGCAGGAGGTTCGGCAGGAGGCTCGGAGCTGGCGAGGCTGATGGGGACTGATGGAGGGGCGGAGAAAGGGAGAAGGAGGAGGACGGGGAGAGGGGAGGCGGGGGCTGATGGGGAGGAGGTGGAGAGCTCGGAGGAGCTTTTAGTGAACTATAGTGACGAAGCTAATAAGGAGGATGAGGGCAGCAGCAGTGTGAGCAGCACGCCTGCTGCCTCCAGTGCAGCGGGCGGCAGCAGCGGGCGCGGCAGGAGCCACCCCATGGGCGCGGTGGCGGTGTGCCTGCGTCCGTTCCACACGCGGCAGCTCTTCTCCCACGACGTGGCGTTCTCCGACGCGCGCCTGCTGGAGTGGATCGACGCCGCGCTGCTCATGGGCGCTGACCGCCTCTACGTGTACGACCGCTACGGCAGCACCAAGCACGCGCTGCTGGCCCGTACACGGAGCGCGGGCAGGTGGTGCACGTGCCCTTCCCCCCCTGGAGCGAGGTGTTCTACCGCCAGGGGCTCTATGCCGGCAAGGCCAGAGTGCCGTACCTGGTGAGTGCCATACCTGGTGAGTGCCGTACCTGGTGAGTGCCATACCTGGTGAGTGCCCTACCTGGTGAGTGCCGTACCTGGTGAGTGCCGTACCTGGTGAGTGCCGTACCTGGTGAGTGCCGTACCTGGTGAGTGCCATACCTGGTGAGTGCCGTACCTGGTGAGTGCCGTACCTGGTGAGTGCCGTACCTGGTGAGTGCCGTACCTGGTGAGTGCCGTACCTGGTGAGTGCCGTACCTGGTGAGTGCCGTACCTGGTGAGTGCCGTACCTGGTGAGTGCCGTACCTGGTGAGTGCCGTACCTGGTGAGTGCCGTACCTGGTGATTGTAATTCTTACCTCATCCTCATCCTCACCCTCATCCTCAGAGCACTGTCTCCGTCGCGAGGCACCTCCCCTGGTGAGAGTAACTCATCCACAGTCAAGCTACATCACCACGGCACCGTATCCCTAACCTCTCATGGTTTTCATTTATGCCCCTCCCTCTCTGCCATTCCCCACGCCTCGCTCCCACGCCTCCTCGTCTCCCCCCCCCTTGGCAGTTCCCGGAGATCTACGACCAGATCCTCTCGTACGAGCATTGCCTCATGCAGGGCCGCCGCCGCAACGACCGCTGGCAGTTGCACATCGACAGCGACGAGTTCATGTGGTACGAGCCGCGCTCGGGGGCGTTCCTCAAGCCGCTGCTGGCGCGCCTCGAGCTCAACCACTCGCGGGCCCAACCCCGCGGCAGCACCGAGCCTCTCAGGGTGCGCTCACCTGCGTGACAGCCTGTAAATACAATATTCAGTATTCTCACACTATTTGAAATTTGGCAAATACCCGAATACAAAACGAATTCGAATTGGCTGATTATTCAGAGATATTCGCGGGGTCAAATATTCGTCTCGGACGAATATTTGTTTGGGTTATTCGTAAAGTATTTGTTTCGAAATGGCATCATATGTCGCCCTGTTGTTTAGCGGGGGGCAAGGGGAAATGGCCGATACTGAAGAAATCAGTCGTCAGATTTCAGGGTGGGGCTGAAGTAGCCATAGGTTAACGACAAAAAAGGTTCATAGCCCGAGTATTCGAGACACATTTGTATTCGTCTCGTCTTTGCATCACCAGTATTCGACTCGAATTCGTATTCGATGGGGAAGAAACTATTCGGCCAAATACAAATTCAGCTTCTATTCGCAATTATTCGGAGAAAAAAATTCGAACTCTAATTCGTATTCGTTTTTACAGTCTCACCCGCAGCCATCCGTTGTGGCTGCGCTGCGTGCTGCCTGCCCCGCTTCCATGAGTCTCAATGCGCTCCCTCCGCCCGCCACCCCCTCCCCTCCCCCACCCACCACCTCTCCCATCCATCCCCTCGCCACCCCACCCCCTCTTGCCCCTCCCCCCCCTCTCCTCCCCCAGGTGATCCAGCTGCGGCGCTTCAACTTCTGGGGCGTGGACGCGCAGTCGCGGCGCGAGCCCGTGCTGGACCGCCTCACGTGGCGCTGCGCGCAGCCCATGTGGCACACCGAGGGGTGGGCCGGCTGGCATGACAAGCTGGCAGTCAACCCGCACACCATCCTGCCCTAGTGAGTGCAGTCAACCAGCACACCATCCTGCCCTAGTGAGTGCAGTCAACTCGCACACCATCCTGCCCTAGTGAGTGCAGTCAACCTGCACATCATCCTGCCCTAGTGAGTGCAGTCAACCCGCACACCATCCTGCCCTAGTGAGTGCAGTCAACCCGCACACCATCCTGCCCTAGCGAGTGCAGTCAACCCGCACACCATCCTGCCCTAGTGAGTGCAGTCAACCCGCACACCATCCTGCCCTAGTGAGTGCAGTCAACCAGCACACCATCCTGCCCTAGTGAGTGCAGTCAACCCGCACACCATCCTGCCCTAGTGAGTGCAGTCAACCCGCACACCATCCTGCCATAGTGAGTGCAGTCAACCTGCACACCATCCTGCCCTAGTGAGTGCAGTCAACTCGCACACCATCCTGCCCTAGTGAGTGCAGTCAACCCGCACATCATCCTGCCCTTGTGAGTGCAGTCAACCCGCACACCATCCTGCCCTAGTGAGTGCAGTCAACCTGCACACCATCCTGCCCTAGTGAGTGCAGTCAACCCGCACACCATCCTGCCCTAGTTAGTGCAGTCAACCCGCACACCATCCTGCCCTAGTGAGTGCAGTCAACCCGCACACCATCGTGCCCTAGTGAGTGCAGTCAACCCGCACACCATCGTGCCCTAGTGAGTGCAGTCAACCCGCACACCATCCTGCCAAATTGAGTGCAGTCAACCCGCACACCATCCTGCCCTAGTGTTTGCAGTCAACCCGCACACCATCCTACCCTAGTGAGTACAGTCAACCCGCACACCATCCAGCCATAATGAGTGCAGTCAACCCGCACACCATCCTGCCCTAGTGAGTGCAGCCAACCCGCACACCATCCTGCCCTAGTGAGTGCAGTCAACCCGCACACCATCCCTAGTCCCCCGCCCCTCCTGCCTAGTGAGTGCAGTCAATCCGCACACCATCCTGCCCTAGTGAGTGCAGTCAACCCGCACACCATCCTGCCCTAGTGAGTGCAGTCAACCTGCACACCATCCTGCCCTAGTGAGTGCAGTCAACCCGCACACCATCCTGCCCTAGTGAGTGCAGTCAACCCGCACACCATCCTGCCCTAGTGAGTGCAGTGAAAATCAGACCTCCATCCTGCCCGATGGCAGCACCTCATCATGCAACTCAATCATGGCAGCGTTACACCATCAGCCTGCCAAGCACCACATGCACCCACATGCCGGGCCCCTGCTACACCTTGCAGAACCCCTTGTGATGTCTTTCCCCTCCCTCGCTGCTGTTCCTCTCTCACCCCGCATTCCTTCACTTCTTCCTCCTCATTTCCCTCCCGCCCCTGCTACCCCCTCCCGTCAGCTCCGTGGCCATCCACACGACCACGGCTCCCCCGCATCGGTGGCGACGGCCCCGCGGGACGTGCTGCACCTGAACCACTTCACAGCGGTTGCCATCGACCTGCAGCAGCACCCCTGCCGCTCGTGGGTGAAGCCCGTGCTGGACCAGGGCCTCACCTGGGTGCTGCCCCGCACCCTCAAGTGCCGCGCCCTGCCCTGCCGCCCCTCCACGCCCGTCGAGTGCTGGCCCTTCTGCTCGCTGCCCTGGAGCAATGGCGGTGAGGGCAGGGGGCGCACTTCCCGGGGGGGTGGTTGGGGAGTGGGGGTTAGAAGGGAGAATGTAGATAGGGAGGGAGAGAGCGAAAAGGAGACTGTTGAGGATACTATGTAGCTGGCATATGATAGCATGTAGTCATGTGTTGGTGTCTTTAGGCCGTTGTACGATTATTCTTGAGCTCTCCATCGTCTCTCGCTTGTTTTGAAATAGCAACAATGCCGCAGCCATCCAACCACTGTTCAACAATAGGACCACAACGTTCTGAGAGAGTAGCAGTCGAGCAAAAAAAAAGCTATTTTGTAGCGATAGGTAGAATACGGTTGTAGTAGTACTCTGCTAGATAATGATGATGCGGCAAGTCCAAGCATAGAGGGAAGCAACAAGTGCACAACGAGGATTCCATGCGCGCGTTCCCAAGGCCGCTCCCACAGCAGAGCCGCTAGTGGTGCAGGCGGAGGTAGATGATGGCGGCGATGGCGAGCAGCAGAGCCGTGAGGATGAGCGCCGTGATCCACTTGTTGCGGTGCAGCTTGTACGCCATGCCCGCCAGCACACGCCGGCTGCGACTCATCTGCTGGTCCACGTCCTCCAGCTGCCGGGTGAACATACGTTGGGACACACGTTGGGACACACGTTGGCGCACACGTTGGGGCACACGTTGGGGCACACGTTGGCGCACACGTTGGGGCACACGTTGGGGCAACACAGAGTGCTGAGGGTGGGATGGTCACGACAATGCACTACTGCCCTTGTGGCCCAGTGGTGCATGCCGCCCACGATGTCACGCCACCCACTATGTCATGCCGCCCACTATGTCATGCCGCCCACTATGTCATGCCGCCCACTATGGCATGCCTCCCACCATGCAAAGGCATGGAGCTGCGCTCTTACACTCTCCTGTTCTCACTCTCCTTCCACTTCTGCCCTCTCACCCTCTCCTCCCCCCCTCTCCACTCCACCTCTTCCCTCACCCTCTCCTCTCACTCTCTCCCCCTCTCCTCCCACTCCCTCGCGCCCACCGTGTCGCCGGCCCGGAGCAGCGACTGGCGCTGCTGGTGCAGGTCGTGGAGGATGGACACGCCCAGCTGCTCCGTCTGCACCATGCTGCGCCGGCTCTCCGCCACGCGCTCCGACGACTCTGCCAGCCGCGCCGTCGCCTGCAGCAGCCGCGTGCGCTGCTCCGCCGCGCCCTGGGGGGAGAGGGGGAGGGGGAGGGGAGGGTGGAGGGAGGGGGGAGGGGAGGGTGGAGGGGAGGGTGGAGGGAGGGTGGAGGGGAGGGCAGGGCGTGGATGGACGTGTGGATGGAGTCTGTCCGCTGGGCCCGCTGGAGTCACACATTCCCTGCTCAAGGAATAGGCGCACGCACCGATAGAGGCACACACCGATAGAGGCACACACCGATAGAGGCAAATCCAGGGTATAAAGCCCCTCTGAGGCTCTAATTTGGTAGTTAGTTTCTCGTTCACTCCGTCTGTGCAGCAGCACGTATAAAGCCTCTGTGAAGCTCTAATTCGGTATTTCGTCACGCAGCTCGCTCCAGTGCAGCAGCAGACTCACTACCATCGTCTAGAAGGCAAAAACGGCTCACGACATCTGCCACTTATAGCCTTTCCAGCAGCAGCACCAGCACTCCCGTCATTAGGGTCATTTACCTACAGCCACACCGCGTTCGTGGCCCTGCCACCTCTGCCACGAGAATCACGACCTCCGTGCGGTGGCCGGACTGCTTTAATTTTGCACGATCCAGCCCACAGCTGCACGGAAACGTGCCACTCCCTCCTTGCCCGCATTTGGCCACGACCGTCTCCGACACAAAACAGTGACGCACAGACCAGCGCGGCGCCCCATTTTTCCACACCTTCCCGCCACAATTTTCCCCATGCTGCAGCAACTTGCACTCCTCCTAGGTGCCATGTCATGTCCCACCTGCACGGCCTTGCTCTCGCTACTGCCTTCCTCATCATTTCTGCTACTCCCGCTTTCCTTCACTACTGCCTCTATCAGCGGCGTCAATATACCTTTTTACAAAATGCATTCGCGCAAAAGAGGTCGCTCACCCGGTCTCACGGCATCAGCCCCTACCCCGTCCACAGCTCGAACGCGCCCTTCCCCTCCCTTTGCTACAGTCCCTGTTCCCCAACCGACATTCGCCCGGGCCTCCTCTTCCTCCGACCCTGGTCTCGCCTCAGCTCATCAGCTCCTCGGCGGGCCCCCTCCTCTACCCCCGCGCCCTCTTGTGTCCCAAAAGCAGAAGGAGGTCCTCCAGCGAGTTCTTGCGGACACACTCTCTTCCGGATCCGCACTTGCACCTTCCCGCCTTGCCCCACCACCAGCCTCATCCCAGCGGCCAACAGGCCCATCCGTCCCTACTGCCGATCCGAGAGTTCTGCACCCCCTTTCGCACTTCATTATGGATCCTCCTCCTTTCCCCCAACCCTCCCCTCCCCGTTCCACGTCTCCTCCTCCTTCCCCGTCCTCCTCGAACCCATCAGCCCCTGCGAACCCACCTCCTGCGAGTTCTTCGTTCACCTGCCCTCTATGTCGCCGCTCTTGTGTCAATGCAAGCGGACTCAGGCGCCACAAAACAGCTTGCCAACAGCACACTTCCGCACGACAGCAAGCCGCTTGCCCTCCTCGCGCTGCCCCTCCATATGCCCAAGGTTCTTCTATTGATACCGCTTCTCCCCCTGCGTTCCCGTCAGCCACTTGGGACGCCGTCCTTACCTGGGACTGGTCAGCATTCTTCAGCCCTACAGTTTCTCCAAACCCTATCATCCGCCGCATTCCTCCTCGCATCCGCCTCCTCGTTCTTGATGCTTTGCTCATCCCGCTTCGCCAGCTTGCACAGTTTCCTTCAGATGCTGCAGCCCACCTTCTCTTGCTTGCTTTATCGCGCCTCATCCTCCGTATGTCCGCGGCTGCCCACTCGCAATCCCTCACCGCGTCCTGTGCTCTCCTTGCCCAACGCTTTCTTAGTGGCGACTAGCGTGCTCTGTCTTTGGAGGCCTCAGCTGCAGCAGCCCCTGCTGCCCGCCCCCTTAACCTAGCCTCGGCCCGTTCCACGGCCACCCAAGCCCGCCTCTCCCGTGCTAAGCGCTTTGCCAAGTGTGGCGACTGGTCTCGCTTTCTTGCTGCGCTCGAAGCCAGTGAGCTCGCTCCCCCAACGTCGGATACACTCTCCGCTCTCTCCTCTAAACATCCCCCTACGGCAGAGCCCCTCCCTGACTGGATTTCTGCCTTCACTTCGGACTCCCTGCTTCAGCTCACCGCCCCAGCCCTTCACTCCGCCTTACGCTCTGCCCCTTTCAGTTCTCCTTAGTCGAATCTCAATTTCGACCATCTCTTAATACTCGTTTTCGAGTTTCCCCTCGGACCCCGCCAGAATAGGCGAACTCCCCTCGTAGAATCGCCTCCACGAACGTCTCGAGTCAAGCAAGAGCAGGTACACAGGTGGAAGCGGAGCGGAGCTGGTTGTGGAGCTGGTTGCGGAGCTGGTTGCGGAGCTGTGTAGCTGCGGGACAGGGCCTGGGGGTGTGTGGGTCCGGGGTTGGACATAGTCTCAAATTCAGTTTCAAGTCGGCGTTTAAACATATTTCCGCCAACGCCATTTCTTTCTTAGCGGCATTTCGTGAAATAACTCTGAAAAGCCGCCAGAGTGATTTTCATCAATTTTCGTCGGCCGATTCCCAGAAGTGTCGTGCTGCGCACCGAAGTTTCTATGGGTGACTTAAGAGCGTCGCTTTACGAAAATCAAGCGGCAAGGCTTACTCAACCACTTCCAAGTGCGGCTCGAGGATTCGCCAGGCATTGCAGACTATGTCACCAAGGTGCAATCCATTCATGGTGAACTCAAGCAGTTGAAGATAGTCTTTCTCGAGCAAGCCCCTGCACCTGCTCTCCTAGTCAGCCTCACTCTGGCATATGAAGTCACACGCAAGATGCTCTTGGGCCTTGCTCCTGCAGACCTCACATTTGCCAAGGTCTCATCCGCGCTCCTTTCTGCCGAAAAGGACAACAGCGCTCAAGCCAAGGCCAAAGCAATCTGCGCTCCCGTGCCTCAGGCCTATTCCGCTTCGACACCATTCCGGCGCAACCTCTTCCCCCCGTGTCTCTACGTCATCAAGCACGGCCCTCGTGCCGGCCAGGTGTGTGGCGGCACTTACCACGCCCTCGCTTCCTGCTTCAAGAAGAAGAATAACGAGTGGTGTGCCGTCAATGGGACCGCCTCGAAGCCGCCAAGCTGGATGGTCAATCGTGCTCCTCGCAAAGTCAATCAAGTCGAAGCGCAGGAATCCGTGCAGGCTGCTGTAGCTCCCCCTGTTGATGTACGCCTTAACATGTTGTTCACTGGTACTGCCATGATTAATGAGACAATTTCGCAGTGTCCCGGCTCATAAAGCACCTCAGCCACAATAGAGTTCACCCTCGACAGTTGGGACACTCACGCAGTTTTCAAGAAAGAACACTCCTTCAAGCCATACAAGACACCAATCCGTCTACTAGGAGCAGACTCCAATTTCACAACACACGCCAAGGGCTCCTCCACAATTCAGTGCCCAGCTTTCCCTTCGGGCAATGTCACCGGCATGTGTGTTCCCACACTACGCCACAATCTCGTGGCCCAACACGAGCTCCAACGGGCAGGCGTCACCACGACCTTCACGGCACACTCGGATCACTGTGACCTCCTTGACCCTAAGTCCAACAAGCTCTTAGCACGCTTGACACTCAACAGCAGCAAGCTCTACACGCTGCGTTCACCTGCACCTCTCGCCACCCTCTCCCAAGCGCAAGCTGCCAACACCACTCCGTGTTCGTGTCGCAGCTTCGCCAACCCAACCATCCTCTACCACCATCGCTTGGGTCACCCCAACTTCTGTACGCTTGCCGACATTGCTTCCAAGAAACTTCTTCTTGGCCTCCCGTCGGCGCTTCCTCCACCAACAGACTCACCTGCACCCACCTGCCTGGACTGCACCAAGAGCAAGCTCAGGCAGCAGCCGCACCCTTCCTCTCCATCCGTCGCAGTAGCTGTGCTGGACCTAGTGCACATGGATGTCTAAGGCCCAGCTCTAGCCGCATCCCGAGGCGGTCATCGGTTTTTTCTTACACTTGTCGATGAGCACTCGCGGTATGTTTCCGTGCACCTCCTGCATACCAAGGTGGAAGCACCTGACCTCATCATGGCATGGGTGCGCCAGGCTCAAGTCACGTTCGGCACTCCTCTAAAGTGTCTCCATTCTGATGGAGGGGGAGAATTTCGCAATGGCAAACTCGATAACTTCTGTGCGGCCCAAGGGATTTGGCAAACCTTCACGCTCCCCGAAAGCCTGCAGCAGAACGGCATTGCAGAGAGCCGCAATCACACCTTGGTTCAGATCGCTCGCTGTCTCCTCAGTCACGCCAACGCACTACGATCACTCTGGGAAAATGCCCTCTTCTATGCAGCATTCCTCTACAATCTTTATCCGCATCCCCACCGGTCTGACACCACACCTACCACTCTCTGGCTTGGGGCCACGCCCTCTGCCCGCTCTCTGTGCGTCTGGGGGTGTACCGCATATGTGTTGCTCAGCCCTCACAAGCGCATGAAGCAAGGTGACAAGCTTGGTAAAAAAACCCAGACCTACATGTACCTGGGACACAACTTCAACTCTCCAAACTACTTATTCCTCAACCCTATCACCAGACAGCTAATTCTCAGCCATGATTTCGTCTTCGATCTCTACGACCACGGGCATGCCTCATCCACCTCCCCCGACATTGTATGGGTAGGCTTCGATGCCTCATCTCCGGCCGCTGCCCTTTCTCCGGAGCCTTCTTTAGGCGTCTCTCACCCGGCCTCTCCGGTATCCTCTGCAACGGTACCTCCTCCTGCTCCGCCTTCCCCGTGCGTCGAGCCCGGCTCACCAATCTCCTATAGGAGGCTGTTAGAGATAGGCTGCAATTCGGTTGGCACAATTTTGTGTGTTGACACTTTCTTGGTTTTAGGGATACTCATATTTGTTAGGTTGGGTGTAGCTATGTTTTCATCCCCAACCTATCCCAACCCAATCCATCCCAAATCCCCACGATTTGGGAGGATTCCCTTGGGATTCCCTCCGATTCTCCCTTATCCCTTCCCATCCTCTCCGATGCTCGGTACTTAAGGATGTATGCTCTTGCTCATTTCAATCAATCAAGTTCTCAGTTTCTGAAATGGTATCAGAGCTCGTTTCCGCCTAAGCGGCTCTTGATCCTCTCGCTCCGTTGGAGCCTAGCATTTGCGTCTTACGACGCAAAGCTTTTCTAGTCGCCTCAACTCAGCGCGGCGCTTCTTTTCGGGCTGAAGCCCGTCGCCCCGCATCTGCTCGTCACACCTGATCGGGCTGAGCCCGTCGCCCCGCATCTGCTCGTCGTACCTGATCGGGCTGAGCCCGTCGCCCCGCATCTGCTCGTCGCACCTGATCGGGCTGAGCCCGTCGCCCCGCATCTGCTCGTCGCACCTGATCGGGCTGAGCCCGTCGCCCTGCATCTGCTCGTCGCACCTGATCGGGCTGAGCCCGTCGCCCCGCATCTGCTCGTCGA